CATCCTCTACTACAATCTGGTTTGTTCTCTCCCACAGTAGGTTGTTGCTGATGGTGTCTGGCCAACGAATACGAAGTATTTTGCGTAGACAACTGTTAATAAACACTTGTATCTTCTGAATGATGGCTTTGGTAGTTCTCCAAGTTCCCGCTCCACACAGTAGAACTGTCTTGAGATTTGTATTGAAAATGCTGATTTTGGTTTTGGTTGAAGGTTGTTTGGAGTTCCAGATATTTTGTTTTTATTCACTGATAACTATTATCACTGATTTCTTGTATTCCTTCGTCAGTACGTTATTATTATTCAGAAAATAATCACAAAGCCTTCAGTAAAAGTGATTGAACATTTACTAGTGCTTTACTTACTTACTTAAGCCTGTTACTCCTAATGGAGCATAGGGGCTGCCGGCCAGGAAATTATTTTTCTGGTTAGCGTTTTTTTAGCGAGTTAGATTTTTGCGGGATGAGGTGGCCAACCCCATGCCCAACTGCCCTCATTCATCCAGGCTTGGGACTAGCAGTAACCCTAGAGAAGGGTTCCAGGCGGGACTAATATTTACTACATAATTTAAATTTCATACTGGTTTTATAAATTAAAATTTACAAAATAATTTTTAATTTCTAAAATAATTTACTACAGCGATGTTTTATTCAAAGAGTTGTAACAGTTTGGTGTTGGATTTCGACACACTGATATTGGTTGATGATAGTTTTAATGTTAGAAAACGCGAATCAATTTTTAGAATGTAAAGCTTTAGAATTCCAGATTAGTTTTTTTCAAAAAAGATTAAGTGTTCTAGATACTAACCGGTCTAAGATCAAAAGTTCACAATACTAACGGGTTTCAGAATAGAACAAAACAGATGTCTCGCGATTCTTTTTAATTTTCTCTATTCCTAAACGCTGACCAACATCACATAACAGTGACAAAACACCAGTAAGGATTACGTTAATATCAGTAACTTAGGGTCAGCTGTAAATCTTGAGTGGTCCATAACTCGACAGTATCATCCTTAGAACCCTATCTCTTAGTCCGAAAGTCCGGCCTGCACAAAATTGTCATTTTCGAGCAGATATACCGTGTAAGTATATCAGACCACATCTCACCAGAGAATGAGAAAATACATTTCTGCATGTACAAGCCAAAAGTCAATGCGATTAGGGGAAATTTATAAATGGTAAACTGGCAAAAGATTAGAAATAGTAAACCATACAAAACTAGTCAGTAGTTTATTCAAGAGCTATTGATAAAACTTACTGTACTAATTCTGCCTGTTTTACCCTTAACAGACCTTAGGCCATTGAACAGTATTCTACAACCATTCTGTGCTGGGCCTCCTTTTCCATTTCTATCCACTTGATGTTCATTGTTTTCATATATATCTCCACTTCTCGACCCAATGTATCCTTTGGTCTTCCTCTTTTCCTTTAGCCCTGAGGAATTAAAGGTAGGGCTTGTGTTGTGACTCAGTTGGTGGATTTCCATAATGTGTGTCCTATCCACCTTTAGTATATAATAATAGTAATATTAATAATAACCGATAAATCACTCCTAGAAGTTACCATTCGTCTAATCTCCTTCCTGATATAGTACATTATGTACACAATGTTAAATCCCTTGTACTGATGGATATACTGGAACCTTATCGATTAAATTCGACCAAGGATGAGAACTAGGCAAACATAGAAATGACTACTACTAAATGACCAATCTTTGTGAAATATTTCTTTAGTTATGCCATTGAGATAATCTAGTTCCTATCTAGTCTCACAGTTTCAACATTTTCTTTGCAAAACTTTAATTTTAGGATCGTCAATCACTTACTATTTTTCGTACTATAAAAAGTGACAGTGGTTCATATCAATGCAATGCGAGTAATGCAGTTGGATGGGATATCATGGAATACAGTGTACGAGTACGTGGTAAGTTTTGAGCTTTTTTTCGATCAAAGTTGAAGCATGCACATTGTTTTTTTGCATTTGACTATGGTACTTTCTTTTTTTCAAGGATTAAACATTCTTTTTACACATTTGAAATCATTAATCAATCATCATTGTTAGACCACCATTAGAAACCTGGAAGCACTGGACGGCCGTTTCGTCCTAGTATGGGACTCCTCAGCAGTGCGCATCCACGACTCCTGCTCCTCGCAGGATTCGAACCCGGGACCTTTGGCATTGTAGGCGAACGCCTTACCATCGGACCACTGGGCCGGCATCCAACGGTGTTAATGTCTAACTCTGATTGATCTTTGTTATCTTTGTTTTATAACAAAGATAAGTCAAATTCAGCTTTTAACAATAGAGGAGATAAGCCTAAAGTTCTTTTGAGAATCTGTAATCATTAGGATTCAACCTTGTCAAGTGTGAGGCGATGACAGTGGTAGATGACCGTACAGTATCACGGATTGATTAAAGTTGTTATATATTAACATCAGTGTATGCCAAATCAGTGATCTCGGTGTTAAGCATTCGCTCGCGGGACTAAATGTCTTAGGTTCGATCCCGTAGATGGATATTGTTTAGGGAGTCTCATACTGGAATGAAACAGACATCCAGTGCTTCTAAATATTCCTCGATGGTCTAACATTGATAAGTTCGTAATTCCCAAAAAACGTCAGTTTTTGTTGTAAATATTGATTTAACTGGACATGCATTGTATGATTGAATAAGGTTAAAAGTCTCATGAAGTTACAAGGATAATAACAGGTTTATATGATAGTTTAGCTTTAGTCTAACAAGTCCCTTTTTTATATGTAGTAAAGCAGCTAACTTCACACGCGGACCTCTTGCTTTCTCCAGATTTAAGACATGTAGAGTAATCTGTGCAGGTCTGTAGATGATGGTAAATTTGTTTATACACAAAGTCGTAACACAGTTCTATTTATCTGCTCCTTTTATTGATATTAGTGTTCAGTTTAGTTTAATTTTTACAAAGTATTAGAGCGTTACAGATATAAGCGAACAATATTGTTATTTTCAATTAGATTGTCATCAAACTTTACTCTCTTATATACATGAATCTTTATATCAACATGTTACCCTAACCAAGGCAATTTACTACGAGTCAATCATCACAATGACAGTCAGTCAGTTAGTTGTAACGTAGAACTTCGTATGTATGTACATAAGTTCGTGTTGCCATACCACATTAGCACAGAGACGCAAAAGTCAAACTAAATCCCATAGTGATAAAGATTGTAGAGGTATTAATGTAATGAAGAAGACTAGGGTTTGAGGATATTATTCAAGAAGTATAATTCAGTGAGATAGAGTTAGAAAGACACAGGTAGAAGTGTTGACGAATTCAGAAGATTACGATTTGAGAGACCTCAAAGAATGGATGCACTTGCGCCATTGCTAACGATTCTGAGCCACATCATTCAAGGTCTCTAAACATTGGTGACTTTCGTCTCGTGGACCACAACCAGGTAGTCTACATCTACCAACACGACTCAGTTCACTTGTTAGTGACTTCACGGATTTCTACCATGTTTGGTCTGGCTGCCCTAACTTTCTTCCAATCTACTCCTACACCATAAAACATAGCTCGTCGAGGCGGAAAAGTACAAGTTGATAGTAGGGAGACAATTGTACAGATAGAAGTAAGAATAATAAAATACAATAAAAAACATTTTTGTCACTAGTTTAACATTGGAAGTAGTAGTAGATCAAACGTGAATATAACTAGGATTACAGTAATCATTACAAAACCTTAAAACCATTACGTAATCAGAAGTGTGTACATAATTAGATAGTGAAGAACAATATAAATGGGAAGAGGCGAAAAATCACCAACAAATACAGGATGTGAAAATCAGTCAGTCAGTCAGTTACGACGTAGAACTTCGTATATGAGTACATAAGTTCAAGTTGCCATATCCCATCAGCACAGAGACGCAACTGCCAGTTCAAATCCAATAGTGGTGGAGATAGTAAAAGTATTAGCTGTAATGAAGAAAATGATGGTTCGAAGAAATTATTCAAGTAGTATAATTCAGTGAGATAAATTTAGAAAGCGAACGACAGAGATGATGAGGAATTCAGGAGGTTAGAATGTGAGAGAGCACAATGAATGGATGCACCTGCGCCATTGCAAACCATTTTGAACCATGTCGTTCAAGGTCTCTAACTTTCAATTACAACTAGGTTGTCGATACCCACCGACATGATTCAGTCCAGTTGTCAGTGACCTCATGGATTTGTGCCATGTTTTTGTCTGGCCGCCCCTAGCTTTCTTCCAATCTACTCCTACACCACAAAACATAGCTCGTTGGGGCAGTAGTCAATCGTTGGACATTCGTAACGCATGTCCCAGTTAATGGAGTTTCAATAGTTCATCATTTGACCTGCCATCGTTACCTAGCACCCATTTCCTAACTATAGCATTGCTTACTTAGTTGTCCCAGGATATACAAGCAATGCTTCAAAGACACTGATGAAGATGTGGAAATAATGCTAATAATAGAAAGAGTCACGTGTGTCACGAATTTCCTTTGAACACATAAATTGCGGTTAAATGTTCGGATTTCTATAGCTTCTGCTATATGTAGTAGACGGGGTCAAACTCTGTTGGGAAATGATAGAGCTATACGATAGACAACTTGAAATAATCCAGGTTTAATGAATTTTATGACCACTATCAATCAGATATGCCAAGATAGAACTGCGTATGGTTTTTATCTGGCCCTTTCTAAACCGTACTGGGAGACGTTCACTCATTCATTAAGTGACCCGGTCTAACATTTCCACGCATATTAGAGAGTAAACCCTGATGACGATCTAACTGAAAACAACAATATTGTTCTAACTTTCACAATGGTAATCTTTACCATAATTAAGTATCCATAATTTGCTATTCATAACCACTCAGCTATTTTAATCAATAAAAGTACAAGTGATTTTCTAAACAGCTAACAAATCTGTTTATTTTTGTGTGTTTAATCATATAGTTCCTCCAACATTTGACACATCCAATGTACAACCAGAAGTACATTGGTTTGTCAATCAGACAAGATCATTAGATTGTACATTGATGGATGGTGCTGATCCTCCACCAAAAATTAAATGGGAACGAAATAATATTCCAATTGCTAATGGACCAGATATACAAATCTCTTCAGATGGTAGTCGAATCACTGTACCTTTAGTGAAAACAACTGATGCTGGTGAATATATATGTCATGCACAAAATGAAGTTGGTAAATCTACACAAATATTTAATGTGCTGATTTATGGTAAGTTTGTTTTTAGAGAAAAAAAAACGATATTTTTGTTCTTTACATTTTGTATTGTAACGCTTGCTTAAATAATTATTCCCGGCTAATTCCTATTGCTTAGTATTCTCTGACCACACAATACACTGGACAAGTTACAAAGAATCGAAAAACACGGTGGAACAGGAAAAAAGATTATATTCCAAATAGCAAGGCCGAAACAAATACAACGTTAGTTTCTTTAGAGTATTTACATGAGAAGCTTCTGGATAGCGATTCACATGATCGACTGGATTAGATTTAGCCAATCGGAGTGCAGCTAACAACACGAGAATTTTCTAACCTGTTCTCCAAGAATCGATCAGGCGCTGATTGGATAGGGAATTAGCCAATCAGCGCGCAGCAACGTAATCATGCTTTAATTCCATCTCTGTTCCACTAACATTTTGTAATTTTTAGGAGTTTACTATGGTTGCCAGTGGTATCACTAATTTCGTGACGGAAGGTATTTAACGTGTTCTTCGACTTCGTAATTTGCTTGTCTAGACAATTGTTAGTAGATAGCACCTGACGGTTTATCGATCAGAAGGTGAACACAAAGTGTTGAATACGTTTATTTTGGGCTCACCACAAATGGACCAGCAGACTACAAGCACACACAGAAGGCCAAGCACTCTAGCGAGTGAGTGAGCGGACTGGAGAACAGGAGAATCAATTATTAAGATTAAAATGTTCATATTTATGCAGGCCGAGTCATCGAAATATTTAAGCGATTAACATTAGAGAGAAGAGGATGAATATTTGCGTATGCGGTAAGCAATGTTCAAGCGTACCAACCAGGTCATACCAACCAGACAATGATAAAAGCCAGTGGTACATATAAGTTATTGTTACAGAAATGGCTTGGCTAAATAAGTCAATTGAAAGGCTTAACCAAATTAAATCTAAGCCAACTCAAATGTATGTGGAGGCACTACATACTTAAACAATTTAAAATGTATATGGAAACTACTTTGTTCATTTCACAATGAAAAACCGTGAAAATATTGATTTTAGTAATTCTATAGGCTAGAATTTTCCTTTGAGCAGTTGTTAAAATCATTAGTGACTGAACGTGATATGATTGAAGCATATCTTCACACTCCAGTCTTCTCCATTACCGCTAATACTGCTACAAACTATACAACTATGGAATTTGAATTGACAGTTGGATCTCTTTAGGCTAATGTTGTATCGCAACTTGAACTAATGTAGGTACGTACGTACGCACGAAGCTCTACATTGTAGCTGACTGGCTAACTGATTGAAAATCATTAATCTGTAATAACTTGTATATAACTATTTGGTCGGTTTATACTGTATAGTAAGTTGATTAATACAGTGGAATTCAGTGAAAGAAATGTATGTGAATATATAGCATGCTGAAAACCGAATTATTTCTGATTGTAATCACATTCAAGTTAGTCATTGGAGCTGAACGTATAGCCTGGTACATATGTAAATCGATTCAAATTATCATACCCCTTCAGGATGGCGAGATGAAGTTTTTAAGGCATATGGTAACAGAAAATATTAGGCATCAGAGGTATAATTCTAGAAGGTAATGTAGCATAGTGAAATAGCAAGACAAAATTTTCTATATGAACATCAAATAAGTTTCACTGTATCGAGCGGAAAGTTGGACAGCTGCGAAAGCCATCATCCACAAGATACATGTACTTATTAACAGATGTCTATTCAAGATATTGTGGATTCGTTGGCCAGATACCATCAACAACCACCTACTCCGGGGTGGAATAAACCACATTCCAGCTGAGGAAGAAATTAAGAGAAAGTGTTGTTGGTAGATAATACACATATTGCAGAAAGTACTCGACTGCATCATCATGCAAACCCTCACTTGAAACCCTCATGGTCGAAAGAAAAAAAGAAGGATAAAGAACACACCATGCTGGGAATAAGAGGCAGATGTGAAAAGAATAAACAGCAATAGCAAAGAACTGTAAAGAAGGGTAGAGGTTAGAGTAGGCTGGAAAATGCTAGTTGGCGACCTATGATGCATGAGGGGTAGCAGGCATAAATAGGTGCGTAATATAACTGGGTACCAAGTCTGCGGAGTGTAACAGGAGTTAGGCATGAAAAATTGTTCATCAATACACGGATGAACGTAAATCATAAATATACACCACAGTTGTCGAAATATCATTTTAATAATTTCATCTGATCAAAAAAAACAGTTGAGAAACATATAATTCTAGGTACCAATATCAGTAAAGTTATTTATAGGTTGATACAAAGAATTATTCTTATATTGGATGTACACTGATGGGACATTTCTTCAAAAATACTTACTTACGCCTATTTTACCCGTAATAGAGCAAAGGACACCTACCAGCATTCACCAGCCTACTCTGTCCTAGGCCTTGTTTTCCAGTTCTACCAAATTGCTGTTTGTTCTTTTCATATCTATCTCCTATCCTTGGTGCAGTGTGCCCTTCGGTTTTTCTCTTTTCCTTTGCAACTGAGGATTCCATGTTCGAACTTGCCTTGTGGTGCAGTTGGATGCTTTCGACAATGTGTATCCTATCCACTTCCAGCAAGTATTCCTGATTTATTCCTCATCTGAAATCTGGTTTGTTTGACACTCATATAAATAAAAGATATATACAGTTTCATATAAGCATTATTTTCCATCACTGTTTATTTAAAGTTTCAGAATTGTGTCTCGTAATGTTTTAGTGGTTTTGGACATCGACTAACTGTTGATTAATAAAGAGATACAGTCATATCTATAATTTGGTTTTGATGAGACTCACTCATCTCCAAAAGTCTTTGATCAAAAATCGTAAAAGTGCGCTTACTAGTTCCAGGGAGAAGCCGGGGACAGTGGAGTTCAATGCTGTTGGGTGTAGGCAGTTATCTACTGAAGACGATGGGTGAATTTGCATAATACCTTGGACTGATTAAAGTTAGATATCGGGCTCAATGGTCTAGAGGTTAAGCGTTCATACATATGAGAACTTTTTAATAAATTTAATAAATTTCCCTTTACTTTCTCATTTCAGTTCGTCCGAAATTTATTGATCCAACAAGAAAAATTCACATACAAGCAGTTCAAAATGAAACAATACAATTAGCATGTGAAGCAACTGGTGAACCAAGACCACGATTTGCATGGTTTAAAAAAGATCGTGAAATAATTCAACCACAATTTCTGGATTCACGTTATACACATTCACAATTGTCAAGTTTAGCTATACTAAGCGGTGACCAGTTATTACAAATATCTAATATACAACCAATTGATCAAGGTGAATACACGTGTACTGTGAATAATGGTGGCGGTACCATAGAGAAGAAATTCAATGTCACAGTAATTGGTAAGTGAGATTGTTACGCTGGCATGTAAAAAAACATATCACTGGATATGCTTGAGCGATTACGAGTTTACCTTAGTTGGGTCGACGATCCAGCGACATGACATGCTACTCTAATCTGAGTATCCCAAGCCCAATTGAGTAAAAGAAGAAGACTTGATATCAAGTAGAACATGTATGCTACAAATATCCAGCAAGTTCGCGAGGTCTGAGTCCAGAAGAGAATAAGGATACCGGCTTAGAGATTCGGGTTATAAAACGTAACAGATAATGAGTATTTATACAGTGAGGTCGAATCGGAAACAACATTGAAGTATGTGACATTGACAGTTAGGACAATCATAATAATATTGACCAGTAGGAATTAACCAATAGGAATTGAGCAATAGAACTAGACTTACAAAAATAATTCTCTTAGGATATTGGATGAATATCCTAACATACATTGAATTGTTATTTGAACGCACAATTTTGAACCGTTTTATAAATTTTGATAGAAGACGTAGTTGATCTGAATAAAAGTATTGGGTTCGTCACTAAGTATGCTTGAGGCTATTACGAGTTTACCTTAGTCGATAAACGCGAACGAGACAATGAACCAGCGTCCAAGTAGACTACCTTGAATCCCAGCAGAAGTAAAAAAGGCTTTGTAAGCGTAGAAAGTATATTCTACAAACACTCAGCAATCACAGTACAATCAAGCATACAAATCTCGTTTTATTTATACGTCATAGAAACGTCCTTCGGACAGTTAAGAAAATAGCACACTGAAATACACAGCAACCAATGAGAGACATGAAATCTCAAGGTCAACCGATCAGCCGATGCTTGCAAACGTAGAATCCAAAATAAGGCATTTAACAAGCGAGTTTTGGGGATCTAACATCCCCAACAAAAAGGGTGATGTATTTGCGCGATACATATTTCGAACAATCTTGTCATACACACATCACACTTGTCAAAGCATTTTATATGAAGATTTAATACAAAGTCAATTAAATCAAAAATCAAATTGTAAGGTAGAGAGAGAAAAAATAAACTTATTATAGAAAGAATAAGAAAGGGTAGGAAATTGTCACATTACCCATACATTACGGGTTTGTGAAGATTGTTAAGTTACAACATTTTTGAAACCATGAATTTGATCAAGTTAGACATTAATACCGTTAGATACCGGCTCAGTGGTCTAACGGTTAGGGCGTTTGCGCACAATACTGAAGGTCCTGGGTTCGGATCCTGTGGGGTGCAGGAGTCGTGGATGCGCACTGTTGAGGAGTCCCATACCAGGACGAAACGGCCGTCCAGTGCTTCCAGGTTTCTAATGGTGGTCTGACACCGATCGATTCATGATTTCAAAAATGTGTAACTTTACCACATAGGCCATAAAATGGCATTAAGATTACCAGATAATAAATTCAAGGTTATAACAAACTGTATCTGTACACATAAGATAGGGCTTTAGTTTACAAACAGCCAAGGATTCCATAAACCTAAGAATTCGTCCTTCAATGTTTCTATATAATGTCATTCCTAATTACTTGTCTCAATCATGTGGTTTGCTATAGATGAACATGGTTTTCTATTTCCTACGTTTATTGAGGTCATTTGACATTAAGTGGTTTAGAGGCCATTATTGATTAGGTACATGTTTAGCGGCTCACTAGTGGACTCCAATTGTGGACGAATGATCGAGTATGTGATTAAATAAATCTTCCTGTCCGTTTCTGTTAATATCATATTTAAGCAAACCCCATTCGTACGACGGCAGCCAAATACGATTTCACTGATAAATTTATTTCATGGATTCATTTAAGACAGACAGACATGAGAATGGAAAGCGTGCAAGCAAAGTGAAGCGAAGGCGAGAAGAGAAGGCGAGTGAGCTAATTCTCCCTGTGCTGAAGAATGACTAAGTGTTGGGGATGTTAGATCCCCAAAACTCGCTTGATAAATGCCTTATTTTGGTTTCCACGTTTGCCAGCATGGGCTGATCAGTTGACCTTGAGATTTCAACTCCCACAAGGAAAATCCATGGCTGTGATTGGCTGCTGCGTATTTTAGTGTGCTATTTTCGTAACTGTCTCAAGGATGTTTCTATGATGTATAAATAAACGTGAGTTGTGTGCTTGATTGTATTGTGTGATTACTGGATGTTTGTAGAATATACTTCTACGCTTACAAAGCCTTTTTACTTCCGCTGGGATTCAAGTTAGCCTACCTGGAGGCTGGTTCATCGTCTCGTTCGCGTTTATCGACTGAGGTAAACTCATAATAGCCTCAAGCATACTTAGTGACGAACATAATATTAAGTGTGTTTGTTACAAATATAACAAATGGTCGATACATTTATCAAATAATTTAAACGACGCATCATTGAAGTACAATCAATGAATGGTGACATGCTTCACATGTTCCATAACTCTTGAATACAATGTCCGATAACTGCTCCTTATGTATGTGTGTCCAAACAAACATGTAAACTGATAGGGGCAGTGGGATGTGATGTAATCGCTCGTGCAATGTCTAGGCCGTTGTGGAATCATGTAGTAATTCCTCCCAATTCTAATCCGTTTATCTGTATAGTGTATGTTTTCTCTATGGCGGTTTTTACTTACTTTCTTAAAAATTAAACTATTTGATTCAGCTCTAAATAGTTAAGAGATATAAACAATTTTCTTTGTAACGGAATAAAAGACAGGCATTTGTTTGAACTGATTTATACACGTATTTATAAACTTTGTTGGAAAACCATTGAACTCAGCTCAAAATCGTTTGCAATGGCTGAGGTGTATCCATTTTTTGTTTTCACCCGAATTCTAGTCTCCTGAATTCTTCATGACTTTTTTCTATTTGAAAATCGATTCGACTGAGATATACTTCTCGAATGATATTTTAGATTCCTAATCTTTCTGATGACAGCTCATATTTCTACTACTTCTATTACTATGAGATTTGAATCGGCAATTCGATATCTGTGTGCTAATGTTTTACGGCCACTTGAACTGATGCACATACGTACGAAGTTCTACGTTGCAGCTGACTAATTGACTGAGTTTAGGTACAAATATAAGTGCTTCTTATGCTAAAATCGATAATTAGCTTAGTATTAAGGAAGGGTAATGGGGTTTTATTCCCTTTCTGATCATGGATTGTGGAAATATTATCAAGTTAAAAAAAGGCTGCTGAATTTGAACAGATTAATTTTAGAAATTTATAGTTCTGTTCAGTGAATGAGTGACTAATTCATTTCCTGTCACTGTACTCTGTACATTTATGCATATTTTCGAAAGAGATACAATTTCAAACTGTTAAAGACAGTACAAAAGCGCTAATGAGTTGTTACTTTTTTGTGTTGTTATCAACAATCGAGATCAACAAACAAATTGGAACCACTACTCGATAGCAAACTGTTGTTGAAACTAATATAAATAATTTTAAAAAATTGAGGAAATATTAAGAGAGATGCTTAATCCTGATAAAGGAATTGAAGAAAACAGATCTTTTTCAAGAGCGCGAAATCCTTTGATCGATCAGAGTTAGAAACCAACACCGTTGGATGCTAGCCCAGTGGTCCAGAGGTCAGGCGTTCGCGCACAAGACCGAAAGTCCAGGGTTCGAATCCTGCAAGCTGCAGGAGTCATTGATGCTCACTACCGCTGATAAGTCCCATACTAGAAAGAAACAGCCGTATTTCAGTGCTTCCAGGTTTCCACTGGTGGTCTAACAATAATTAACTGATGATTTCAAATATGTAAAAACACTAATCTCCATAACTCTAATTGAAAATATCGTACTATGATCTATTGAAAACTGTGAAAATTGTCAAGTAGAGTAGAGTAGACAAATTTACTCTGATTACTATTCATAAAACATTGATTCTTTTTTTTTCTTCATACAGTTCCACCTGTTATCATGAAACGTTATGGATCACCAGAAGAACATCGTACATCAGAATTTATTCCAATTACATTCTATTGTTTGTTATATGATATCAATCAAACTAAAGCAGAAATTACATGGACTAAAGACAATTCACCAATATTAATGTCACCTGATGGTGATTATTTTGTAATACAAGATCAAGGTCAAAGTTTAACAGTGATACGTCCAACAACTGATGAAATTGGATTATATCGTTGTTTAGCAAAGAATAGAGCTGGTGAAGATAGTCATAGTTTTCAATTAACTGTTATTGGTAAGTAAATATGAATAGGATTGGTAGACGACTATTTGTTTAGTCTTTAGGGCTGAAGGAATTTTAATCAATAACCCTATTAGTATAGATTGTTTGATACTAGACTTTATGCAACTAGTAGTTATAATGATTTGAAAGAGCTTCTGGTAGTTACCAGATTCAGTAGATACTTCCAGCTTGTTTGTACTCTCTGAGCATTAGGTTTCTCGGTTCTTATGCAAACTATGTAACAGTCTTCTTTTATCATAAAACTCGGAGTTGCCTGGAGTACACCGGTTGGCCTCAACGAATATTGAAGAGTCTAGAGAAACCCAGTGCTTATAAGCAGAACTTTCCGTGAAGCAGTAAGCGACTTTATTCGCCATTCTCATGGGGTTGTTCAGTTCCAAACAGTGCTCATTTATACTTTCCAGTAGGTCATTAACTAGCCTTGAATCTATGTCGAATTAGTTGCGACTGAAGCTGCAGCCATTTCACAGACATCGATCCGTTTGGGAGAGTGAATTTGTTGGCCACTTAAACGTAAGGTAAGATTAGCAAAAGCTGGAGTATGATCGAAGTTCATATAAGTACTCCAAAAGAGTGCTCTACCTGACCACATCAGTATCAGCTGATCGCTGTGTGGTCAATCTCGGTCCAGGATTGATATGCAGATGGAAATTCCTGGTAGCACATCGGTGATGACTGTGCCGATAGTTAGTGTTAGCAAGAAATAAGTTGTTATCTGTACAAAGTTGCAGGTGACGGTCATCGTTATCTGATTTGTGATCAACTAGTCCGATTGGTTACTCAGACGACTCTGCTCTGTGCTTAGGTGCCCGAACTACACATTCACATTTCCAGAGAGTACCACAATCTTCGTCAATCACACCTTCCTGAGGATATCACTTAACCTGGGACGCAATCTGTTAGGGTGTAGGCTGAGATAACAAAAAGGAATTCTATCTCGCACCGGTTCCTTCTCACTTTGATGAAGTTTTCGAATCTTATAGTTCATTTATTTGTGTTATTGGGGAATCTTTCGATTAGTGCCGCCTCAACTCTAGCTCTTAAAACCACACTAACGACAGCAAGATCTAAGGAAGATGCCACAGGGTCGCCGAGGAAACTCATGCGAAACTCGATTTTCGAAGCGACAGATGGAGAAGGAACATACAGTACCTCATTCGAGTCTTGAATACGGATCTGTGATCGAAAACAGATAGTGATGTTTAGACAAGTGTAACATAGAAGCTGATGGAGCAACATGAAGAGATCCAGTCCAATGGCGGCCTATCGCCAATAATAGGTTTATACTCTTTTTGTTCGTTCAGGATACTGGAGCCAATATGTACCAGCATTTAACACTGGACATTCACTTTCCTCACAAGAAGGCAGTGATTAGAACTCTCCTGTCAATGGCTGTATAGACATGGTTATATGAAAGCTTTTGAAAATAGAAAGAAGACCTTCTCCACCTTCTGCCTTATCAAGACACTTCGACGGCTAATACAATTAACAAAGAACAATTCATCAATGCTGGTTTATAATGTTAAATTTTTTTTCAACACAATAGATTTATTGATTTATACGTTCTAATTAGAAAACTAAAATTTCCTTAACTGTTTTATTGAATTATATCATGTAAGTATTCGATAATTTTTATGTGGAGGTTTCTTCGACACTACGGTGTGCCTGAGAAAATAGTTAACATCATACGGAATTCTTATGATGGATTCAACTGCAAAATCGTACATGAAGGACAACTAACAGACTCTTTCGAGGTGAAGACCACTGTCAGGCAAGCTTGCTTACTCTCACCCTTTCTCTTTATCCTGGTGATCAACTGGATTATGAAGACGTCGACGTCTGGAGGGACGCACGGTATGAACTGGACAGTTAGGACGCAGCTGGACGATCTGGACTTCGCAAATGACCTGGTTCTTCTATCGCACAAGCAACAACAAATGCAAGAGAAGACGACCAGTGTAGCAGCAGCCTCTGCAGCAGCGTCAGGGCTCGACATACATAAGGGAAAAAGCGAAATTCTCCGATGCAACACAACATGCACCAAACAAATCACTCTTGATGGAGATGCCTTGAAGGACGTTAACATCTTTACATATCTGGGCACCTTGATCGACGAGAAAGGTGGGTCTGATGCAGATGTGAGGGTGCGGATTGGCAAAGCAAGGGCTGCATTTCTACAGTTGAAAAATATCTGGAACTCCAAACAAATATCAATCAACACCAAAATCAGGATTTTCAATACAAATGTCAAGACAGTTCTACTGTATGGAGCGGAAACTTGGAAAACTACCAAAGCCATCATCCAGAAGATACAAGTGTTTATTAACAGTTGTCTACACAAAATATTTCGGATTCGTTGAGCTGAGACGATCAGCAACAATCTACTGTGAGAGAGAACAAACCAGATTCCAATGGAGGAGGAAATCAGGAAGAAGCGGTGGAAGTGGATAGGACACACACTACGAAAAGCACCTAACTGTGTCACAACACAAGCCCTCACATGGAACCCTCAAGGCAAAAGGAAAAGTGGAAGGCCAAGGAACACAGTACGCTGAGAAATAGAGAATGATATGAGAGGAACGAACAAACATTGGACAGAACTGGAGAAGGAAGCCCAGGATAGAGTTGGTTGGAGGAAACTGGTGGGTGGCCTATGCTCGATTGAGGGTAACAGGCATGGCATAAAAATAAAAATCATGTTAACTAATTCACGGAGTTGATTATTGTCTTACGTTGAGAATATAATTGATAAGCTCTATAAGTTCTATAGTTCCTACATATTTACAAGCAATAAGTAAGAAACTAAAACACGCAAGTTTATGTACTACTTGTTCATTTTTGACAGAAACTTTATAATTTTTCTGTAATTTAGCTGCCCCCAGATTTCCATCAGATTTTGTACGTTATCGTCAAAAACTTGTTGTACGTTTGGGTGCTGAAATTGAATTTGATTGTCCAGCTCAGGGATCACCTTCACCAACAATTACATGGTATTATAAAGGTGCACCATTATCTCAATATAATGCACCTGCGAAATATACATTTGATGATGATGGAAAGAAATTGAAAATCTTATCATCCACTGGTAAAGATTTAGGTGAATATCAATGTTTAGCACGTAATGAAGCTGGGAATATATCAAAAATTTATGAATTAGAAGTGATTAGTAAGTTAAACAGGAATTTTTTTTTAAATTTAACTAATTTTCAATGAATTTCAAGTAATCATTATTATATTTTTACTGAAAGCATGAATCGAATAATGTTAAACTATCGTTAGAAGCATGGAAGTACTGGACAGCTGATTTGTCCTAGTATGGAACTTCTCAACAGCATGCATCCAAGAACCCGCATACGGAAATTAAACCTAAGACGTTTGGTCTCATGTGTGAATGTTTAGGCTTCTGAACATTTGACTGGCATTCAAACGTTGTCAATATCTAATTCTATTCTGACAGTTATCATGTTCTCGGTAGTGTCTAGCTTTGTGTAGGATGGTCCAGTGAGAAGCTGTTACGCCTGCACGTAAACACGTCATTTTGATATGCTTGAACTATTACGAGTTTACCTAGACAGAATACGAGAGAGAGGATCGAGGATCCGGCGACACGACATGCTACTCTAATCCGATTATCCCAACCCTCATATTGAGTGAAAATAAGCAAACTTGAATGTGAAGTAGAACCTGTATTCTACAAGCATCCAGAAAGTACTAGGTCTGAGTCCAGAATATAATCAGGATCTCGCACTAGGGATCCGGGACCTGGTATTGGTCGTGGTCATAAAATGTTACAGATAATGCGTATTTATACATTTAGGTCGAATAGGAAACAGCATCGAAGTCTGTGATATTGACAGTTAGGACGACCAATAGGAAGTAACATTTTAAGTGACATTGATATTCAGGACAACCAATAAGGAACAACATTGGAGCACTTGACATTGATAGTCAGGACAACCATAAAATTGACCAGTAGGAATTAACCAATAGGAATTGACCAATAATTCTCTTAGGATATTGGATGAATATCCTAACAGAAGCCATGATCACTTGGACGTCGGATAAGTGGTCAAGAGGTTAATTGTTCACATGCAAAACTGAATGTCTTGGGCTCAGTTCCAGTTTGTGGAGCTGCAAATATTCACTATTAATAAGTCCCATACTAGGACAAAACAACCGTCCAGTGCTTCAAGGTTTCCAGTAGTGCTTTAGCATTGATCAATTTATCATTTCAATGTTCAATAAATTAAAATGTGAATGATCGTTATGAAAACCAACTCTTTTTTTAAGTATGGTGAACTTGTTAGGTGTTGCTGTTCAAATCTGTGTCTTTCAGTTTTTATATGATTGAACTTTGTTTGATTCTGTAGCTATTACAATTCAATTCATTGTTATAATACTTTGCTGTCAACGTTTAAAATAATTTAAATGATCGATAAAATAGTACTATGTTTGCTATATTTAAGATATAAATTGGTATCAGCGAACAGGACGTATAATCAGCAGTGCACTATGAAGACAATCTAAGCTTTTCCTTTGCTCCCCAACCCAGTTAATCAGAGGAAGAAGTCTAGAGTTAGCAGGAAGAATAAATAATTCAAAAGCAGCCTGGAACGACCGAACGAATAGCAAGCACTTAGTTCATGCATTATATATAGTACACAAAAACGTCCTTGAAAAGGAATGTCCTAACAGGTAGGAAACATAACTCAACGACAAAACTGCTTTTTGGCGCGATTATGAGGAATTCACATTTTCATATATAGGTTACCAAATTCAGAAGTTCGCAAATAAATTTCTAGGTGATCTAGAATTCCCAACAGATTATTAAACACTTATTTACCCCATAAAATTGATGATATGCTCCTCCCTCATGCTGGAAATAGTTATTTGAACATGGAGTCACTCCCTAGGAAGATATTCTTATCAGTTCTATATAAAAGTTTTAACGAAGTTAATGTGAACCAGTAAATGATAAATGCTTATTTATGAATCAAATATGTAGGTTCTAAAATTACATGTTTTCTTGAAATCATGAATCACTCATCGTTAGACCATCATTAGAAGCCTAGAAGTACTAAAAGACAGTCGTTTCATCTTAGTATGGGACTCTTCAGCATTGCTCATCAACGACTCTTGCTAATCGGAGCAATCGAACTTAGAACCTATGTTTTGTGGTGTAGAAGCAGGTTGGAAGAAAACTAGGGGCGGCCAAACCCAAACATGGCACAAATCCATGAAATCACTGACAAGTGGACTGTGTCATGTCGGCAGTTGTCGACTACCTAGTTGGGGTCCGCGAGATGATAATGATCGATGGTTAGAGACCTTGAATGACATGGCGCAAAACCGTTTGCAATGGCGCTGATGCATCCATTCGTTGTGCTCTCTCAAATTCTAATTTTCTGGATTCGTCAACACCTCTACCTTTGTCTTTCTAACCTTATCTCACTGAATTATACTTCTTGAATAATATCTTCAAACCCTAGTCTTCTTCATTACCATTAATACCTCTACTATCTCTCTCACTATGGAATTTGATTTGACATCCGCGTCTCTGTGTTAATTTGGTATGGCAACATGAACTGATGTACAAACGTACGAAGTTCTACGTTGCAACTGACTGACTGACTGAGAACCTTGTGTCTGGGTTGCAAAACCTCAGATTGATTCATTCATTTACTAATTTAGAGATTTTTAATACTCTTGATCTATTATCAAAAAGTTCATTTATCAGTTTTCTTTAAGGGTTTTTTAATTCATTTTAGTTGATTTCATTGTATTCACTTAAATGTATTTTCTATGTATTAATTTTCAGTGCCTCCATTAGTTCGACTTGATAAAACAGAAGTACGTGAAAGAGAAGGTGCTACATTCACTGTACATTGTTCTGCTGAAGGTCATCCGATGCCATCATTAGAATGGTTTAGAGAAACTGGTGGATTATTTCGTCTTGGAACAAGTGTTGATATTAGGTAAATAATTATTGGCTTGAATTAGAAATATTTTTTGAGTTTTAAAGTTCACTATTCTTTTTTGTTATTGTTAAGAATAATCGATATCCCACTTCAATCAAATTGAATATATTGACTTCTGTCACACTGACCTTTAATAAACAAGCTTTAGATAAAGAAAATGTTTGTATCATCCTATAGCTTTTTGCGTTTTTCATTTGGTCATTCTATTTGGAAGTTACTTACTTACTTACTTACCCCCAATCGAGCATAGGCCGCCAACCAGCCTCCTCCAACCAACTCTGTTCTGGGCTTCTCTTTCCAGTTCTGTCAAATTTTTGCTCATTCCTCTCATAACTTTCTCTGCTTCTCGGTGTAATTTTTTCCTTGACCTTCCTCGTTTCCTTTTGCATTGAGGGTTCCATGTGAGTGCTTGTCTTGTGACACAGTTAGGTGCTTTTCGTAGTGTGTGTCCTATCCACTTCCACCGCTTCTTCCTGATTTCCTCCTCCACTCCATTCTGGTTTGTTCTCTCACACAGTAAGTTGTTGTTGATTGTGTCTCGTCAATGAGTCCGAAGTATTTTGCGTAGAAAACTGTTAATAAACACTTGTTTCTTCTGGATGATGGCTTTCGTAGTCCTCCAAGTTTCCGCTCCCTACAGTAGAACTGTCTTGACATTTGTATTGAAAATCCTTATTTTGTTTTTGTATTTGGAAGTTAGTTAACTCTTAAATCAAAGACTGATCATTTCTAAATACACTATTTCCTATTTTGTACAAAAGGTAATTCGTAAAATTGTAAAGATACAATGGAAAAGAGTACTATTTTCACATTCACATATTGTGGTAAGTATTATTTACGACTTTCTATAAAAAATGAAACAGCCAAAAATAGTTACTTATTTATTTAAGTTTGTTACGCCTAGTGGAGTGTAGTTAGTAGATATGCAATAGAGTATTGCTCTGAATTTGTCAAAAAAGTGAAGAGTATTGGATCCAGTTAGATGATGTGATCGGAGTATGTTGAAGAATAGAAGAGATGTACAAAAATACAACCAGGAGTATGCTCGTTTTGTAAATGAGTGTTTTATATTAGTGTGGATGAATACCCCAGTCAAATTCTAATGTCTTTTTTTGAGTTTGATAATGTTCAGCTTTGGAAGTATATTGAATTTAAAATTCATCCTTTTTATTTTAAATACATGATAAAGTAAATTTAGTTTAGTGTAGTTGTTACGCACTCAAGTAAAAACGTCATTTTGATATGCTTGAACTATTACGAGTTTACCTTAGTTGGAAAATGATAGAGAGGATCGAGGATCCAGTGACTTGACAGGCTACTCTAATCTGAGCCTCCGGAACCTCCATTGATTAAAAGAAGAAGACTTGATATGAAGTAGAACCTGTAGTCTACAAACATCCAGAAAGTCCGCGAGGTCTGAGTCCAGGAGAGAATCAGTATTCCGAACTAGAGATCAGGGTCATAAAACGTTACAGATAATGCGTATTTATACAGTTGGTCAAATATGAAACAACATTGAAGTATGTAAGATTGATAGTTAGGACGACCATAATATTGACTAATAAGAATCGACCAATAGAATCAGACTTCCAAAAACAGTTCTCTTAGGATATTTGATGAATATCCTAACAATAGTGTATATATTGCACTTCAACAAAGCAGTTTTATTTCAAGGTTGTTTACAGTACATACAGGCTTTGACCATACAATCAGTAAAACACCAAACAGCACTGGATGTTTCTCTCTTAATGGTACAAAACTTCCCATTGGTGAACACCTAGAACCTCATCATGGATCCAGATAGCTATCACCGCTGGGAATCAATAATGGTCTCCTTAGATCTTAAACTAACTGAAGGTGAACCATTGACTTCCAACTTAGCAAATTCAAGATAGTTGTCTTTCTTCAACAGTTAAAGATCCTGAATTTGATCTCTGTTAAAGTAGCAGGGACACAGTATCGAGGAAATCTATACTACGATGAAACATTTACCCAGTGCTTTATTTAATGTTCAGTGGATCTCTTATTAAATTCAATTACCGAACTAAATTACATCTCAAATGTGCATTCTTCACTAAACTACGATCCTTACGAGTTCGATTTCAAAAATGCATATGAGTAGTTACATTCATCCTAGATTTTCTTTTTGAAACCATGAATCGATCAATGTTGGACCACCATTAGGAACATGGAAACACTGAGACTCATCAGCAGTGTGCATCCACGACTCCTGTTCCCCGCAGGATTTGAATCCAGGACTTTCGGTATTGTGAGCGAACACCTAACCTCTTGATCACTGAGCCAGTATCTGAAGGTGTTAATGTCTAACTTTGATCAATTCACGGTCTTGCGCAACCTAATCCTCCGTCTTCGGCGAGCACTGCTTCACACCCTACAGGGTTGAAATCCACTGGTCACTACTTCTCAATAGCACTCGTAGAAACTTCCTCACACAGCTAGTCAATAGCGAGCATATATAATCCTAGATTTGTTTAGATATTCTTTCAAAGTTTCCAAGCCGTACTTTACAGATCGACAGAGTTTTGACAAAGATTATAACAGCTTTAAAAAAAATGCCTTTCACTGATAAAGAACTATTTCTGGTAATTCTATTATTAATTTGAACTCAGTGCAATAATAATTGAAGTAGAAATTAACAAACTAATCTTTACTTTATTCAAAAAATTCCGCATATTTCTTTTAGCACTGGACTCTTAACAATAACAGATGCTAAAAAAGAAGATAGTGGCCGTTATATATGTAAAGCGATCAATAAAATCAGTGAAGATTCTAAATCAGTTATGATAGAAATCATTGGTAAGTATATCATCTGATTTATATTCTGTGAACCATTCAAATTGAATTTCTCAATGAATAAATCAGGTTGTTAATGCAAAGTAAAAGACATTGTTATTTTTCTTGTTTATGCAATAAAAATCCATTCGTTTCAAGGATTACTTACTTACTTAATTACTTCTGTTACTATTAGTAGAGCTTAGGACGCCGACTAGCACTCTCCAACCTACTTTATTTGGGGCCTTCTTTGACATTTCTACTCATTAGTACTGTTCAATCTTTTTCAATTCACAGTGTAATGTGATCTTCGGTCTTCCTCTTTGCCTTTGGTCTCCTTTCAAGAATAACTATAGTAGATGATGTCAGTTAATACCTGATCTACTTCATAACATTAGTCACTCAATCCTCAATGTTTTGAATCATTCTGTAACAGGACATAAACTTAAGTCTTACTCTAGTCGGTGTTCATTAGTATGACATAAATAAAGTGTCTTATTGTCTAGCAATAAGTACTGAGCTATCAGCATTTCACAGTCGATGGTTAGTTGGTGGTAGTGATGTTAAGTGTAATTAAGTTTACCAAGAATTTAAACACGGTAAGATTTAGCTTAAAGTAAAACCAGACTATTAGTAGTGAAGAATTTTAAGTTTTTTTTTAAGGCAATTAAGTATAAGTGGAATATTGAACAACCTGACGCATATTGTTGAGCCCACATGACTTGTCTCAGCCTACGGGTTAACAGGCGTAAGTAAGTAGCAAGTAATAATAATAAGGATAGATGTGGACAGATATGAATCGCAGTAATTAGTTTCGATAACATATTGTTGCCCAAACTTTGCTAATATATTACCTAACCAGTGATTGTAGCGAGATTAATATTGAGCAAAATTACTGTGTTTTGAAGAGAATTTCAACCAGAATAAATTTCTAATGTATAATGAAGTCACGAACCAATCATTGTTAGACCAATGGGTAACCGTCTCGACCTATTATAGAACTCGTCAGCAGTGCGGATCCATCACTCCTGCTGATCGTAGGATTCGAACCCGAGACTTTCCAACCTGTACGCGATCACCTAACCTCTGAACCACTGGGCCCTCATTGAAGGTGGTAATGTTTAACTCTGATCAATCTAGGAAATTCTTGGAGTTCTAGTGAGAAGATGTGACCAGTGGAGTTCAGTCCTATCGGATCTAGTTAGTAACTACCAAAAACCAATGGGTGAGGTTGCGCAAAGCTTTAGATTCATCAAAGTTAGATAATAACATCGATGGACGCCGGCCCAGAAGTCCAGATATTAGGCGTTCGCGCTCAAGAACGAATGATCTGGGCTGGAATCCTATGGAAGTCGTGGGTCTACACTACTGACGAGTTCTGTACCAGGACGAAACCGCTGCCTTTCAGTGCTTCCAGGTTTATAATGGTGATCTAACAATGACTGGTTCATGATTTCAGTAATAAACAACAGTCTCCATAACTTCATGATGAAAATTAGTTTAATGACTGGATACTTACTACTGACTAACTCAATAGTAATATAAATAACCTGATAAAAGCTTTCTAAATTATACAATAGAATGAAACAAAATCTAATTTGGGAAAATTTTCATTTCATTGATCGACAGTTTCAATTGTTTTTTGCCTAGTCTGATTATTTCAGCATTCTAGATCTTGTTTCGCCTATGATTTTTCTGAGTGGTTGATAAATTGTATCGATGTCGATGTGTTTGTTGATTACTGATTGACCTGAGTGCCAAGAGGGAGGACAAAGAGAACACTAGAGAATATTTAGAAGCCTAGCACTCACGTCAATCAGCAATCAACAAATACATCGACATTGACCCATTTTATCAACCAATCAGAAAAATCATAGGCGATATAGGATCAAGAAACAGATCAAAAGGGGAATACAATCAAAATAAAGGTGCTAACAACGACACGTTTAAGGTCAACAGTAACCAGTCAAGATCGAGTTTAGCAGAACAAGCTACAGGTTAAACGTGGAGAAAGTTGAATACCTCACTTCTTCTATCTGAAGTTTGTGCTAACGGTGTTCAGAATAAGAACAACAATGAAATCTCCACAACCGAAACATCATCCAGCTCAGAGAACCAAACACCACTAACACCACCACAAGTAATGCATAGTGTTTTTTGAATCATTCAATTCAAGATTTTGACTATTGAACTTGTATTCCATTTTATTTATATTTTCATTTGATAAAACAACATAGAATTAGTTTAATTTTAAGAATATTTTGAGATTATTATATTCTTATTGGCAATAAACTTTTGTATATCAATTTTTTTTTAATTACTCAGAACGACCTACAATACATACAACAATGAAACCAATTTTAGCTAGAGAAAATGAACAAGTATTATTACCATGTAGAACAAGTGGTACACCACCAATACGTATACAATGGCTATTACCATCGGGTCAATTAATTACAGCTGATCAACCTGGTGTATTTCGATTTCTTCCAGAACAAGTAGGTTATATATTATTTCATAATGAATGATATTGAATTATTTGCTTGCTTACTGTTAGAATATTAATCAATTATTATTATTTTGTGAGTTTAATTCTATTGGTCAATCCCTATTGGTCAATATTTAAGGTC